AGAAAAATTTCTTCTGGGTTTGAGTTGTGATGGAAACAAATAATTAAAAAAGTATATCAAAGCGGGTTTTTAATTTTAGGGTCCATTCCCCTTTGAAATTAAAATCTCATTTTATGCCCATATATAAATATAAAAAAAATGGAAATTACATTGGGAATGTTTTAATAAATAAAAATTTCAAAATTTTATTTTTTTTCTTAAAATTTCCAGCCCCGGTACAAAAGGTTAAATTTTTCCTCATATTTCTCTTTCAAATTTTACAAATTAGTGAAATATATAATCAAGCATAATTTTAGAAGTTAAAAACAGTCATACTGAAATAAAAATTAAATTTGAATTTTCCATTTTTTTAGACAGGGAAAAAGAAAGCCCCGTAAAAATGTTTTTTATTTTTTTAACCTAAAATTATAAGGAAATAATTACATATATAATATATGTTTCTGGGTTTAAGACGGGCCATAGGTTTACCTAAATTATCTTAAACGATCAAATATCATTTGGAAAAAAAATTCCCAAGGTTACAAAATGCATTTTTTAAATAAAATATCCAAATATCATTATCTTTTCTAAAAAACAGGGGAATTTTTTTGTTTTTTTTTTACTTTTCAAATGGAAATATTTTTCAAAAAAATAAATATCTTTTTGGGGAGGAATAGGGGCGATTTTGCTAAAAATTTGGGGCCAAAAAAACCTAAATTTACGGTAAAAACCGAAAATTGGGTTAATTTTAAATAAATTGACCTTTGACCCCCAATTTTTAAAAAACTTTTTTTCAGAGTTTTTTTTTGCAATTTTTAAAAAAACAACTTGTGGCTTTCTGAAGGGGAAAGTATAGCACTATAAATCAGAAAAGGGGGAAAACCTGTAAATCAAAATCAAACAACTGAGAGTGGAATTTACCTACAGATTTGATAAAATTTTCAAGTTCAATTCAATTTAAAATAATTATTGCGTGGTACACACATAACACAGCAGAGTCTGTCTTTACTAAAGGCATAACTTTCTGTCTTTCAGTCGGTTAGATTTACCAAATAGCTAATGTCATGGTTCTGGTGAAGAATATGCACAGTGCATTTTACGTGACAAAAACAATATTTTTCAGGAAAAATATACCTATTTTGGGCTAGCGGAAACAGTCTTTTTCAGCTATAAAAATTAAAATATAGGGAAAAAAACACAGTTTATGTACTGATCCAGCGAAGGGTAGGTGGTCATGATCCCCAAGATTTGGCTATTATTGAATATCTTATTTAACACCAAGATTTGGCTAAAGTATGTATCGTGTGAAGTTGGCCCAAAATAAAATATTGTTTGTCCTCTCCCGCTACCTCAGTAACCTACCCACAAAAAATTACAGCTACCCAAAATAAATGTATTGTCAAACAAAAGCATAATATTTTTCTTCTACAAAACAGTCAAAACACCCACAAAACCAGGGGGAACCTTTGTCATTAAATAGAATAAACATTAAATATCGTCCTTAATTTATACAAACGGGGAAAAAATTAGCCAAATTTAAATTTGGGGTGAATTTTTTTTGGGACCGAACATTTTTACAGATTTTTTTTTCCTTACTGCCAAAATCCCGTTAGGGCCTAAATTTTTTAACTGTCAATTTTTTTAACCCCACGGGAAATTTTCTCCCCGGTAACTCTATCATAGTTTGGATTTGTTTTTAGGGCTTAAACCTGAAAGTAATTTAAATTTCCCTCTAAAGATCAATAGAATAAAAATTTTAGTATAACTTCTCCAAAAAAAAATTTTCAGTTTTGTACCTGTTCTTAACGCATACATGCGATTTATTTCAAATTTGTACTGTCTACTCTATCTTCGGCGGACATGTTTATGACCCGTCATCGTAAAAAAATCGATTCCCGTGAAAGCTGGTAGTAGCTACCAGTGTGTCTAGCAGGTAAGTGTGGGTTACGCCATGAAGATTAAATTAAACAAAATATCGGGGGAAATAAATTCCTATTCATCATTTTTAATAAATGGTGTGCATTATTAAATACTATTGAAAAAGTATCATTGTATTTAACCTAAAAATGCAATGGTCCTGTTGTTTTAATTATTTTTTAAAAAATTTTTAATACATGTAACTCAACATTTATCAATTGTGGTTTGCCTTCTTGTTACTGCTAATGACTGCCAAATGTCACTCTCGGATAAAATTACTGACTTTATTTATACATGCATATTTATATGACAATTAAGAACGTAAAAGAAATATGAAGGAAACTATTTGAAATACACTTCAAATTATTCAGTAAAGTATTTGTACAAATAATATTTCAAGAGCTCTTTTTCACCGATTTGCCAATGTATAATACCATATTAAACCTATTGATAAAGTTAAATGTTCTTCTTGACATACTTTATTAATTTACTAAAAAAGGAACTTTATTGTGATCCAGCCATATGCTGTGTAAACTATAAAGGAAGGGTCACATATTTTAATTGAAATAAATCTTTTTATATACGATATTAAAAAAAAAGTCATTGACAAGATCAGATTTTTCAAATGAACAGATTAAGACTTATAAATGTATAAGGTGTATGTGTTTGTTGTTTCATACTGTTTTGGTGACACTTTTGTTTTGTGTCCCTTGTTGTTTACTTCGTCTATGGTAAGTATCTTTCCCTTTGCCCCTAGTTTTATTTCTTTATTTCGCCCCCCTCCCCCGAATTTCCTATCCCTTCCCCTGTGCCCTGTTAACTTAGTGGTCCTGTTTCATACTGTTTTTGTGACACTTTTGTTTGTGTCCCTTGTTGTTTTCTCGTCTTTGGTAAGTATCTTCCCTTTGCCCCTAGTTTTATTTCTTTATTTCGCCCCCTCCCGAATTTCCTATCCCCTTCCCCTGTGCTCGTTAAATTTAGTGGTCCTATTAATCATTCATTTATTTATTTTCTTTGATTTTCCTTCTCAGTTACATTTTAGTGATAAGCCTGACCGTGCTCTCCCTTGCGCCCTGTCCCGTTTTAATTTAGAATCATCCTGGGCTCCTTGCCCAATGGTTCATGTTCCTGGGTCGTGTGGGAGTTGCGTTCATTGAACGCCGCCTTTCCTTGTTCATCTTGTTTATCATATTGTATACATGTGTACCAAACCGCTAACAAACAGATAAGGGGTTTAAATTAAAAAAGGTTGGAAAGGGAAAAGGCCCAAAGGTTTTTTGTAAAGAAAAACAAAAAAAAAAATTATCCACATTCATGTTTTCCACCCTCAAAAAAAACCCAAACCAAAAAACCCCCTAAAAACTGAAAACCCGAAAAAAATAAAACGGGAAAGTGCCCAAAGCGGTTTCGGGTTTTAGGGGGCAAGTGCCCCCTTTTTCCCCCGGGTTTAAAAGGAATTGCCCATTTTAAACTTTAAAATTTTAAATTTTTTTCAAACACCCAAAAAATGTTAATAAAAACGGGGGGAAATTGCATAATTTAAAGGGGAAATTCAATTTTAACCCGGGAACAAAAATTAAAATTTTTTAATTTATAAAGGGGTTTTTTGGGGGTTTGTCCTTTTGCAAGTTTTTCCCAAAAAATTTCCCCCTTTCTTTTTAACTTTTCTTTTCCTTATTATCAACGTCTAAATAACGTCACTAAATTTCCTCTTGCTGCGTTTTTATCATAAAAACCCCGTCAAATTGTGCGACAATTGTATTTTCTGAGGACTGTCTGAAATTTCCATTTTATAGTTTGAAATTTTTTAAGATTTTTTTTTCGGAATTTTAAAAGTTATTTTTGGTTGTTTTGAACTTCTTCCCCTTCAAACAACCGTCCTCAATTTTCTTTTTCAAAGATAATAAAACTAGAAATTGATATGGAGTTGTAATATAAATTGAAATTCTTTTCGGTTTTACTTCATCATGTATAGTTTAATTATAATTATAATTCATTTAAGATGTACTTACAAATTACATTGGTATTTTCGTATGTGGGGAATCATGGCAGGGTTTTAAAAAATAAAAAAGGTAGTTCAGAAATTTCACCTAATGATCACAGATGTTAATAAATCCAACTTAATAATATCTAATTTGACAATTTAAACGGACTTAATGCAGTATAAATCTGACATCATAAAACTATTTAATTTGTAAGTAAGGTTATCAGAATTTTTCTTTTCACATTCTCTTTTTAATGCTGAAATATTTGTGTGTGAATAAAAGATGTATTCCTGCAATAATTCATATAAATAACATAAACAAATTGTATAATAAAGCTTGGCAAATACAATCGATCCGCCGCCGATACCTGTGTTACACCATGGATTTTACCATGACACCGCTTTCCAATATGGCCGCTTTCAATAACATTCAACGATTAAAAAATTAAAGTGGAATATTTAGACTTCTGTTCGACTTTGAAGTATGATAATTTGGAACCTTGCATAAAAAACGATTCTCGTTCAGGTAATGTATACCGTTTCTTTGAAACTTTTCTATAGTTTTCGCTCCAACAACTTTCTAATTGGGAAGCGTCCGTGCATAAAATTGCAGTTCGTGGTTGGACTTGGAAAAAGACAGCGCCCGTCCAAAATTATCTCGGTGTCTCTTTGACAAGTCTAATAAGTTGGACTAGGGATAAATATGCAGAATTCAATTTTCATTCCAAGTTTGTTTTGAAATTCTTCTAATTTTACTTTTAGATAGAAAAAGTATTTTTGGATTAACAAAAATGCTTTATCTACCTACCTACATGTACAATGTACCTACCCTACACAAATTGGCATTGGTCACAGCAGGGGAAACATTCAAACAAAGATAATTTTAAGGCTGGGTATGTATTTTGAAAAACATGTATGAACTTTGTACATTGAGTAATAAATGCTAAAAATCAGAACAAACAATTCCTTAAAAAAATTCATAAAACATACCACACAACATTTTATTCTATTTAGAAATTAATTCATAAGATTAAGTAGTGCTCATTTTTTATGAAGTTCCAGACTTCTGTCCTCAATTTCTTGTTCTTTGTTGTTTTTTTTATCATGTCAATGTCAACAGGTGCAAATATTTTTATTACAATTTACATAATTGTTTATCACAGACAATATACTCACCATGAAGAGCAAAAAGATGAAGTGGAAGTGAATGTGTTATGTTTCTTAATCCTTGAAGCTGGGGAGGTACCCCTGCTGATTCATCAGGGCTAGAGTCAGAGTCGGGGCTACCACCCACAGCCCCTGGCCCAGAGCCATTGCTCACAGGTATGTGTAGTCCAGCAGGTGGATTCGTATAACTACCCAAACTTCGAGCCCTTGCTCGGCTACTTGCACCTGACATATGGGGACCAGCCCCATTTTGTGACCCCGAGCTAGAATATGTCCGAACCCTTGGAGAACCTGTCCCTGTGCTTTGTTTAGCACCCATTTCAGTCCAAATAACTACTGACAACTACACAGCTAGAAAGAATATTGTCAATTGGGTTAATATCCAGTTTATTTGAAAATAGATTCCCTAAAATGTAAACAAAACAAAGGATTCTTCACACAAATAATATCCTCGTCGGCCATGTTTAGTCTTCCTTGTTTGTGAGGAACCAACACAATAATGACGTAATGTACCATGTGACCATTGTTCCGCGGTTCATTTAACCATAATATTTATCCGGTATAGGCCTAATACCTTTACTGTACATAGCCTTCGCTAGTTATGTACATGCAAAAAAACCCAACTGTTTAATTTCAATAATGCACATAATATCGGCTAGTTAATAATTAGATCTAATGAAAAAAAAAAATTAATTAATTAAAAATTAATAAAATATTTTTTAAATAACTATATTTTTGACCTTACACATATTTATCATTCAAATAGAATTATAGATAAACCATCTTTGCCCTGGATAACAAAATCCATTAAAAAATTAATTCATAAAAGAGACCAGCTCTATAAAAATATTAAAAAACCAAAAAAATAAAAATAAATCTGATCATTATCAATGGCTAAAATTTAAAAATTTGAAATCGCAAATAAAAGCTAGAATTAAACAATCATATGAGTCTTACTTAGAAAACATCATGAACCTTGCAGATTATGATGATGAAACTATAATTACACAAAGTAAAGTCTGTACCAAAAAAAACTATACACACTTATAAAAAACTCTAAACAAGATTCACAAAGTGTGTCTCCATTAAAAGATCAAAAGTCTGGTTCTCTCAAAATTAATAACACTGATAAAGCAAACATTCTTAACAAACAATTTCAATCAGTTTTCTCACCAATTATACCACTTACACTTAAAGATAAATGCATACAAAAACTGAGACTCATGGATCCCAGAAAGTATTGTCAGTACCATCATCATCAGTAAGGCAGGTGTACTATTTAAAGCTCCTCGCCAACCTCAATGCCAACAAAGCTGCCGGCCCTGACAGCATTAGACCAATTGTCCTGAAGGAGCTGAGAGAAGAGATTGTTGACATCGTTGTAGTTCTTTTCCAAAAATCCCTGACCACTGGTAATATTACCAATGACTGGACCCGTGCAAACGTATGCCCTGTCTACAAAAAAGGTGATACAAGTGATCCAGCAAACTATCGGCCAATTTCCCTTACATGCATCCTCTGCAAAACACTTGAACGCATAGTTGCCTCTCAACTATCTTCTCACTTTACCACCCACAACATACTCTTTGATCTTCAGCATGGATTCAGAGAAAGACGATCATGTGAGACACAACTCATTGAACTTACTGATTACCTTGTTAACAACCTTTCAAATGGCAAACAAACAGATTTCATACTTTTTGACTTCTCCAAAGCTTTCGATGAATTAAACCATCTTAAACTCTTAGATACCCTTCAAGAACATGGTGTTTGCCCTCAAATTCTAAACTGGATACAGTCCTTCCTTATTGGCCGTAGACAGACAGTAGTTGTGGGTAGTGACTGCTCATCTGAAGTTCCAGTTACCTCTGGAGTGCCCCAAGGCTCTGTCCTAGGGCCCCTTTGTTTCCTTCTATATATCAACAAGCTACCATCTTCTGTCCTTAAATCCCAAGTCATATTATTTGCAGACGACACTGCTGTATACCTAACCATCAATTCCTCCTCAGACCCCCAACTCTCCAACATGATCTAGACAATATGGTTCTGTGGGAGAATCAGTGGGACATGGAGTTTAACCCTTCAAAATGCCAAGTCATCCATATCACCAAAAATAAAACCATAATTAAACACAAATATATGCTCCATGGCCAAGTCCTAGAGTCTGTTACAAATGCTAAATATCGCGGACTAGATCTATCTGCTGACCTTAAATTTAATACACATATATCTCGGATAACTTCCAATGCAAACAGATCCCTTGGCTTTATTAAAAGAAATGTTATTACTAAAAATGAGAAAGTGAAAGAACTAGCATACAAGTCCCTGGTCCGGCCACAGGTTGAATATGCCTCAACTATTTGGTCTCCTTACACTAAAACCAATATTGACAAAGTTGAGATGATCCAGAGACGTGCAATAAGATGGGTTAAAAGGGATTACTCCCCTCACTCTAGTGTCACAGCCATGCAGGAAGAACTGGGATGGCGATCCCTTGAACATCGCAGATTGGAATGTAGATTGATAATGTTTTATAAAATATACCATAACCTAGTTGCAATTAATCTCCCAACATATGTTCAAACCCCACATAGATTAGCAAGACATATGCACCCCTTATCCCTACGCCAAATACAGGTATCTTCCGACTACCATAAGTACTCTTTCTTCCCTCATAGCATTATACTATGGAAAAAACTTCCTAGTAACATTGCCACCCTGCCCAACTTGAGTCAGTTCAAACAGGCAGTGGTGGGTTTGCAGTACTAGTCTTACTCCCAGTGTTTTTAAACTATTTTATCTCTTATCATCTTGTTTCACTATTAACATTTTAACCATGACTAGAATACATTTTCAGTCTCACCTTCCAAGCATGTCAATGTTTGGACTTTTCTTTTCTTTTTTTTTTTTAGCTTTTCTTTTCACCTTTTACTAACAATCTGACGTGCACTAAATTCCTGCCTTTAACACTCGTAAGAGGAGTTGGCAGTATCCAGAGATAGATAGATATACACCCAACTCTAATAATTGATATCATTTTCAATTCTAGCGCCTCCTAAAATTGCTATAATTTGGGACATAACAATATATATCATATTATACTGTAGACTTAAAAAATCTTTTTGCAATTTATATACAAAAAATAAAATAAAAAAAAATATTCTGAGACTCAAGCGTTCATTGAACGCCGACCTTCCTTGCGGATTTGTTTTTCATATCTTAACAATATTACAAAGTTATTGTGTAATTAGATATATGGATATGTTCAAAGGTTTCATAGTTGGGTGTAGTTGGCAATTTAGTATATCAGTTCATTTTTCTTTATTTGTTATTGGGCAACTGACCAGTAACCAAGCTAATCCGAATAAAGCTTTATTGTCTTTAACATCTTTATTTGATCGTTGATCTCATTATTATTGTGATTTATAGATAATACAATACGTCAGGAAGGTAAAAGACAGCGCCCGTCCAAAATTATCTCGGTGTCTCTTTGACAAGTCTAATTAGTTGGACTAGGTGGACAATGTCGGTAATTTTTTTATACCCTCCTCTACAGGGCTCAAATAAACATAACCAGAAATAAACAAACTAGTTCCTTAGTTTGGAGAAGAACCTAGCTGTACTGTGTCAAATCTTTAAATCTCTAGCTCTAAAATTAAGAAATTTCAATGGAAAATGTTCAAAAAGTGTCCGGTTGATGGTCCTCGATCAGTATCCATACACTTCATTGTAAAACAACAACAAACAACAACAAGAATAATGAAAAAGAATCTTTAATATGCAGGTTTGTTTTCTCTTAACACATTATTTGTATTTCATGTACATAATTTACAGAACGCCTAATTAGCATTAGTTAAAACATCTAATTCTCTCTTTAGTTATTGAAAATTCTTTCTGTAATTGGATTGATGTGCTTTGTAATTGAATTAAACCTCTTAAACGAATTATAGTGCACAATTAATTGATTGATAAATAGAGACTGAAAGGGGCTCCAGTTAGGTTTTTTAACAAGAGGAAATGTGTTGTTTCTTTATCTCGATATCTTACTTAGTCCCAATTTTGATTGAGAGACGGTTGCAAGTTACTTGTTGTGGACCATTTAATTGTAATACCGTTTGATGTAGTTCTCCTGCAAAATACTTCTCTTACTCTGTTTTTTAGAACGACCATTTTATTGTAGGAAATGACTTGTTGCTAAAACTTAAACCCAATCCAAAATCTTAAATTGCATTTGGAAAAGATATTTCTTTATCATTTTTTATTTCTCTTTTTTTCCTGTCATTTTTTTTTCCTCATACGTGTCCATGTTGATCTAGGTAAGATTTTTAAATTTTATGACTTTTTAGGCTTTTTGACCTATGCACCTTTGATGCACTGGTCAGTCAATTGTTGCCTGTCAAAGAGACATAAATCATACTTTTCATGTTTCATAGTTCATTGCCACGATGGATTTTTACTTTTCCCGCGGTAAAGGGTTCCATGATTCATGTGGTAAAATCCGCGCTAAATGTCTCCGCTTTGAGAGTTAGGCTTATCACCTGCTATGTCAGCGCCAAAAAATAAAGAAAAAAAATAATGATAATAATTATAAAAGAAATATAATAAAACATTGCGTTGGTCAATCTGACAGTGCAGGAATTCGATGGAACTTTCCGGACCCCCCTGACCAGGCTAATGCATCAAGAAGATAAAATTCAGACATGTACTAGTAATTATAAATATACAGTCTCAATAGAGTTCCTAGGTTAAGCAAAATGAATTTCTATAGTCAGATTAATGTACAATGGACCTGGGATGTACGTATCGTATGTTCCAGAATGGACTAAATTTTAAGACAATACCAATAAAGAGGACTTTATTAATTTACGGACAAACATTTATTGACGGCTTTTATCTATGGCGATAAAATTTATGGACTATAATTTCTTCTCAGTCACATGATCAAAAGATGTCTGCCCCTTTTAATTTCAAAACAATGAAAAACAGCTGATAAAAACAAACAATTTTCAATAAAAGTAAACGCATTTAAATCATGTCGTTTCACGAAGGTGACATAAATTCTACGAATGATGAGAGAAAACGGCTTTTATCCGTTCAAGCAGAGGGGGAATATGATGAAGTGATAATTGTGCATCAAAAAAAGACAGGTTGTCCTTTTTGTAGAACAGTGTTGAACAACATATAAATAAACAGATAAAGTAGGACTCTAAATGTACTAGTACTTCCTTAATGGTTAAAAGATATTCGGTACTAAGGATATTTTGATGTATAGATTAGCATTCCAATTTAAACCGTATATTTTTACAAAAATGTAGGAGAAGCAAAGTACATGTACAAATTATGTACAGAAGGGCAAAATACTTGTATAGCAATTATTTTAGATAATTTCCAAAAATTGTTTGGTGTCTACAGTATACTTTAATATTTAAATATACTCAATTTACATGTCAAAGATATGTAAACAAACTAGGTTGCACTTAATTCCTTTGATTTCTTTGTTAATTGATAGTAATTAAGATATGAATACATGCGGTAGTCAAAATATATAATTTATATTGACATGCCAAAGCTTGATTTTGAGATATTTTCGTACTGGCCCGGGTCAGAAACTTGCTTTTACAGATGCAAAGCAAGATATTGCCCAGACATGAAAATAGCACAATATCTTGTCACGCAGTACAATTAGTTGGTCTAGGTTCTTCTCTTAACTAACATACTAGTTTGTTTAGTTCTGATTATGTTGACACTTATGTCTGAGGCCCATCAAGGAGGGTATCAAAATTACCTAAATTGTGCACACTACAGTACCATGTCCGGACAGATATGTAATGACTCTAATTTAATTCAGATAAAGGCTTTTGTGTACTAATTTTATATTTTTAACTTGATAAACAATATTTCGGCAGCAAATGCTGAAGTTTTGGATATTCTATAGTTTACTCTGCAAATGATTATAGCTAGTATAAGAGGGTAGGTATAGCACCCTTGACGTCCAAATTTTCAATGTCGACATTTGTGAAATAGATATTAAAATATTAAAGTTTACCTAAGTTGAAATAAATTTATGTACTTACATGTAATTATGGAAGAAATATGTATTTATTGATGATTAAAAAGTGATTGTCAGATCGATTGATAACCACTCAACAAAGAAAAAAAACTAAATCAGGCATTTTTAGGGCCGTCCGGGTTTGGTGGTTGTCCAGTTTTGCTCAGGTTCCCAACCAGTAGTTTATTTAAACATCCCATCAAAAAGCTTAAAATATAATATAATATAAATTGTAACAATATATTTTTATCCTTACCATGACACTATAGATCTTAAATGAACTTGTCTATCTTCAAAACCATTTGAGCCGTGTCACGACAAAACCAACATAGTGCGTTTGCAACCAGCATGGATCCAGACCAGCCTGCGCATCCTCGCAGTCTGATCAGGATCCATGCTGTTCGCTTACAAACCCTATAGCAAGTAGAGAAACTGATAGCGAACAGCATGGATCCTGATCAGACTGATCTTAAATGAACAAAACCATTTATCATCCTGACAGTTGCTGGGAAATTTTCCAAATAGGTAGTACTGACTGAATAACAAACAGTGCAGCCCACAATCAGACGACACAAGTGTGTAAGCTGCTGAATTTGGTCTGCACTGGTCATACGGGCGGACAAGCTAAAGGTTTAAATTATTTTAGGATCATCATGGTACTCGTCGGTGTTTCTGGTTGTAAATGCTGCCCTTGGTGCCGGACTTCTCAACTTTCCAGAGGCATATCACGAAGCAGGGGGAGTAATTGTGGCCATAGTCGTACAAGCTGTAAGATTTATACGCTCATTGTGTAACATTGTTATGTTCAGTTACAATCTAGATAGGCGTTTGTTTGTAATTTACAGACTAACATTTTTTTATATTGATTTCATGCTAGTTTAAAGCTGCATGCCTCCAAAAATATTTCAATAAAATCAAACATGAGAAAAATGTAAAAAAAATTTAAGAAAAGTAAAAGGACTCAAGATGCATGTAATAATTTTTCATGTTGTGTCATTAATTACTGATTTTGCAGTATTTATCACCATATTTCTACTGCATGACTAATGCAGTAAGGGAATTTTTTGCATATTTTGACCTCTTTTTGGTAATCAACATGAATTGTAAGTGTTTTTTGCAATGTGTGAATTACTTTCTTTGTTGACTTCATTTTATTTTAAGTACACATTTTTGAAATTTTCTTGAAAATTTGCATAAAACTGGAGGCATGCTGCTTTAATGTATTAATGTGTTTTCTGACTTATTATACACAACAAACTGTCATTCATTACATCTTTAAATCAAGAAATTCAGTCATTTCATCTGCAGAAAAAACAAGGTGATCCATCAGCGGTTAATATTTAACAGATCAGTTGGGCAAGTGACTTGAAAATTTTACCAGCACAATTTGAATTATACAAGGGCTAGCTAGTCGCTACTAAATTTGAATACTGATTTTGTTGTTAAATTAGTATAAATCCTATTGTATCATGTATCGCAGGTTGTCGATACGATTTTATAACATTAATATGTAATTCAGAGATTACGGTATATAATATCTACAGAACTTCTTTAAGAAATAAAATTTTCATTGTTCTAATATTTTTTTTCCAGATATTTCTGGTGTTCATTGTAGCAGCCATTATGATCTTGGCATATTGCTCAGACATGAAAGGTGCTGCCACCTATCAGGATGTTGTGAGTACAGTGTGCGGAAAGAATGCTCAGCGGGCCAGTGCCATGTTCCTAACGACATACTGTTTCGGGACCTGTATAACCTTCTTAATTATCATAGGTGACCAGTGGGAAGAATGTAAGATTTTCAAAAAAAATTTATGCAATTTTTTTTTAAATGAGATTTTATTTCACACTGTCACTGTTGCGACATTTCAGCTACTGACTTAAAAAACCTTTTCCCTGCTTAGTGTCTTCTTGCAGTCTGGACACAACTAGCATCATTTTTAGGGATAATAATTTCAATTATGTACTGACCAAATAGCAAATAGTTTAGACCATGGAAGTGCTTGCTGATCTTGGTCTGCACTGGTTGAAAATATATGCCATTCCAAGAAATGTCAAAATTAGCCAATATACATTTTCAATATTTGTTGGGCAAGCATTTGGAAGATACATTGTTTATTGGAGAACTTACAAATTTTGTTTCATAAATATTAGTAAAAAAAGGGTCCTAGTAAAGTAATGGGTAATTAGTTTAGTTTATACAAATTTATGTTAGTTAGATTGTGTTGGAAGCTATAAACTTATTAAAACACTCTTGAATCTGTTCCTGGAACCAACCAGTACTCAGCAATGAGTGTAAAGTTTCTTATACAAAACAACGGCTTGACCCTAACATAGTTTGAACCCACACGGCTACTAGCAATCCTCAGATTACTAACCCAACGTGTCTAACTGTCAGCCATGCCGCCACACTAAAAATTAAGATAAGCATAGTCAAATCATATAGATTATTATCAGAAATAGTTGTAAATTTTTTTTAACTTTTTTAATTTTTCAGTTTTTCTGTTTGTTGCGAAGGATTTTTACTGCCAGCATCATCCATGGTATATGAATAGAGCATCTACAATAGTTATAACATCATTTCTCCTGATTCTACCTCTATGTTTTCCTAAACGCATTGACTTTCTGAAATACGCAAGGTAGGTGTTTATGTTTAACTCAAATGTTTTAAGACCGCCTCCATGGTCGAGGGGTTAGACTCGATGACTTCTAATCCAGTTACCTCTCTGGCGTGGTTACGATCCCCAGGAGATGCTTTGGTAGTATAGCGCAGAGGAAGGTAGTCTAGTACTGGTGTAACTCTCCAGGAATGATGGTTAGGAAACTTCTTGCCTATATGACTGAAATACTGTTGGAAAAAGGCATAAAATGAAACAAACAAACAAACAAACAAATGTTTTAAAAAGATGGAGAAATATTCAAATAGTTTCAGCATCTGTAACCACATCGGCAAAACACTTTGAGGCGTGTCCATGGCCAGGTGGTCAAGGTTGTTGATTTTAAACCACATGTCCGTCTTTGCAGTGGGTTAAAATCTCAACTGGAACTTTGGATTCTTTAAATGGACAAGTTACGGAGTGTCGGTGATTCTACTCAGGTGCCCATTTGTGCCTGAAGTAAAGCATAGAGGTGCACCAAAAAAGCTGGAAAGTCTCCTCAATGTGACCTGTTCTGTGTTGGTTTGACGTTAAACCCTTCCAAAAAAATAACATCAGACCTTGATTAAGATTTTCTTACCACCATCTTTTCCACTGAGATATTTTAGAAAATTCCATGATATTGGAAATACTTTTTGATGACTTTTGTCTTATAATCGTATAAGCACTTCAGTATTTACGTGTATTTTAGGAAAAAATGTATAGGTATATAATAATATGGCTTATGTGATGTATTAATTAATAGTTGCATGGTATAATTTTTGTCATATAAATACTTCTATTTTCAGTTTTGTGGGAGTGATAGGCATTCTTTATGTTGTCGCCTTAGTAACAATAAAATACTTCCTACCACATGATCCGCCTGGACCAATCAAAACCAAGTAAGTCTTGCCATGAATGATTAAGCTAGTTTTTGGATTAAGATAGTTTTGTTTAAGCGTAGTGCCAGATTTATTTTTTAATTTTAGTCATAGAAACTCCTTGTAGTACTTTATTTTCAAATTCTTTATTATTCCCTTTGAAATAAATAGTAGAATAATTGTTTTTATATTGAACTTATACAATCTATAGAGATTGAAAAAGAGCCGTATATAGGACATTTTAGACAAACTGTAGTGTGTTGCTAGGGGGATGAATTTTTTAGGGAAAAAAGATATTAAAGCAGACGGCTTTATTATCGCTTTTTCAAAGTAAAAATTCAGACATTGAAGAATACTTTTGAAAGACCCAACAACAGAAAAACAGACAACAATGTTCATAAAACAAGCAAAGTTAACTTTAACTTTAAGGTAGATTATTATAGTGATACAAGTTGCCAACTGGATTTATGGAAGAATATAGCCTGCATGAAATAAATATGACCCCAGGCTCTAGCCGAGGGTTATATTTATGTCAGCAAGGCTATATTCATCATATAATATCCAGTCAGCAACTCGTATAATGAATTTATAATAATGCAAATTGTAGTTAAGGACTAGTTCATTAAAAAAAGCAACTTAAGGCTGTTTTCATAGGAGCACAGGAAACAGATGCTCATAAAGTAGATTGTGTCAGAAGCCCAATGGTTTTGTGAATGCTAATTCAAGTATTAAGTCATCAGTGTGGTGTAATTTTTTAATATTCTTTTAAACAAAAAAGATTTTTAAAAAATGCCATAAAAATCAAAAATATAAATTTTATGTGCACACTGTCTGCGATGTATTTTTCTTTATATATACGGCATAGAATGCTAAGTGTTAAAGCCAGTCTGGATTTGTGAAATTGATCTGCATTATTATAATTGTTTGCATTATTAAAATACAAGATATATAATAGAATCCAGACATTGAAACTTATAAAATGCTAGATTAGTAGGCTGTATTTTAGTGTGTTTTTTTCACATCATTTTTTTACAGACCAGACGCATGGATGGATGTTTTTCATGTTGTACCAACCATATGTTTTGCTTATCAGGTAAGAATAAATTCTATTTTCTTAAAAATTAGACAAAATAAGGAGATATATTAAACCTGGGTCAAAGATAACAGTTTAATTGAAATACGGGGGCTGTCCAAATAAGTCACGGACAGCGGTTAAATAAAATATACTCCGCTGACTTCTAAAAAATAATTCACTGGTATTTAAGATGCCTTTGTTCATGCCGAAAACCAGCATAATACAATCTTATGTAATTTTACAGAACAAATTATAAGACTACCTGGTAACACAATGTTGCCCATACTCCGACGTCACTTGTAAATACAATTTTTGACATTTCGTCAATGTTTCTTTTGAAAGGATCACCCCTGTAAGGGATACACTGTTGATATCAAGCCACCTTCTTAGAAGAGACATACAAAAAATAATTGCACAAAAAAATTCTAATTCAATTCTTGGTAAATTCTTTTGTTATCCCCTGCCAAAAAGTTGTCAACTTGAAACTTCATAGGTGGAAAGATCATATTGAGGAGTGCAGTGCACAAAAATGATAACTCTACCCTGCATAATATTTCAGTTATTGCCCTTAGTTATTTTTCAAACTTCATTTTTGTCCAGAGCATAACTCAAAAAGCCTTTGAGATATCAACATGAAACTTCATAGGTGGATAGATCTCACTCAGAAGGTGTGCAGTGCACAAGAGTAAAGACTCTACCCTTCATAATTTTTGAGTTATTGCCCTTTGTTATTTTTCACACTTAAACCGCCTCCGTGGTCGAGAGGTTAGAGTCGATGACTTCTAATCCAGTTACCTCTCTGGCGTGGGTTCGATCCCCGGGAGATACTTTGGTAGTTTAGCGCGGAGTAAGGTAGTCAAGTACTGGTGTAACTCTCCAGGAACGATGGTTAGGAAACTACCCGCCTGTATGACTGAAATAATGTTGGAAAAAGGCGTAAAATGACACAAACAAACAAACAAACAAACAATTTTTCATACTTATTTTTTTACTGAGGGGAGCATAACTAAAAATATCTTTGAGATGTCAACATGAAACTTCATAGGTGGATAGATCTTATTGAGGAGAAATGCTGTGCACAAGAATGATAACTCTACCCTTTATTATTTTTAGCTCACCTGTCACAAAGTGACATGGTGAGCTTTTGTGATCGCTTTTCGTCCGGCGTCCGGCCGTAAACTTTTACTTTAAACGACATCTCCTCATAACAGCTAAGCCAATTTCATTCAAACTTCACAGGAATGTACCTTTGGTAGTCATCTTTAAAAATTGTTCAAAGAATTTAATTCCAAGCAGAACTCTGGTTGCCATGGCAACCGAAAGAAAAAAATTAAAATATCTTCTTTAAGAAAACCGTAAGAGCTAGAGCTTAAATATTTGGCATGAAACATCAACTAGTCAGTGTCTACCAATTTGTTCATATAAATGCCTTGGGGTCTAAATTGGCCCTACCCTGGGGGGGGGGGGGTAATTAATTTTCTTTATTTGTATATAGTAAAAACTTAAAAAATCTTCTTTTAAAAAAGCCATATAGCTAGAGCTTAGCTATTAAGCATGAAATATCTTCTAGTGGGTGTTTACCAAGTTTGTTCAAATAAAAGCCCTGGGGTCAAAATTGGCCCCGCCTCAGGGGGTCATTGTTTTTCCCTTTATGTATATAGTAAAAACTTTAAAAATCTTTTTTTAAGAAACCTTTAGAGCTAGAGCTAAGATATTTAGCATGAAACATCTTCTAATGAATGTCTACCATTTTTGTTCAAATAAGGGCCCTGGGGTTGAAATTGGCCCGCCCCGGGGATCATTGATTTTCCTTATATGTATATAGTAAAAACTTAAAAAATCTTCCGTTAAAAAACCCAAAAAGGTAGAGTTTAGATATTAAGCATGAATTATCTTCTAGAGATTGTCTACCAAATTGTTCAAATAAAAGCCCTGGGGACAAAATTGGCGTGCCCAGAGGGGGGGGGGTAATTTTTTTTTTTCCTATATAACTTAAAAAATCTTCTTAGAGCTAGAGCTTAGATATTTATCATGAAACATCTTCAAATGGGTGTCTACCAAGTTTGTTCAAATAAAAGCTCCTGGGTTAAAATTGGCCCCGCCCAGGGGGCCTATTTTACAGGTGAGCAATTTCAGGGCTATCGTGGCCCTCTTGTTGAGTTCTTGCCTGTTTTTATTTTTCATACTTTTTGTCCAGAGCTAATCTCAAAAAGTATTACAGGTATCAACGTGGATAGATCTCATTGAGGAGGAGTGCAGCTCACAAGAATGATAAAGCTGCCATGCATAATTTTTCAGTTATTGCCCTTTGTTTATTGTTCATGCTTACTTTTTGTCCAGACAGTAACTCATTAAGTATTAACTATAAAAGGTTTTCACTTGAAACTCAAAATATAACTAGTGCTGTATATGAACATACTGTGAAATCATAAATATCCTTTCAGAACAAATTTTGTGTAATCATTATTTTTGGATTTCAGCTGCTTTAAATTCATGCATCTCCAAATTTTGATAAAAGCTTTCACATGTATTTAAATAAGATTAAATTTTTACGGCAGTTTTATACTTGCATATTAATTGGAGCTCAAAAATTGTCAACATTAGACCAGAAAAACTCTATATAATAAGGGGCTCACAATAACCTTAACATTTGACCTTGTGATCTTAAAATAAGGGAATTGGTATTCACATAGGTTTCAAATCTGTTATCACTTCAGCCATAAGTATTCACAAAGGTTTCAAATCTGTAATCACTTCAGCCTTCAGTTTTAATTACCAAAAGACCTCTTAAAATTTAATTATTCTGCTCTTCTACATATACATTCTTCCAATGAGCAAACGCATTCGGCGGAGGATGACCATGTTAACATGACTCTTGTTATCCTTAGTATTATTTTCCAGTTTAAGTGCCCAAGATTTTTTCCCTAAAAATTTCAAATTTTATGCTACTAAGTATTTAGGTCATTGGATCTCTTTGTAAATTCTTAGAATGAACTATTTTTTATTTTGATCCTGATTATTGATCCTAAATTCTTTATCCTTTCTTTAGTTTAAAGCAATTTATCTAAGCTTGATTGTGAATTGCAATTATTGTGAACATTCATTGGGTCCTCTTCTAAGAATGAACCTGTACAGTTGTCATATAAGGAAACATAGTCATAACACACATAGTGCTTGAACTTATGGTTCCTAGGTTGAGAGTCAGGCACCGTAACCACAAGGCCAGAGATTCAATTCTTCACCTTAGTGCAGTAACAGGTTAACTCCTATTAAACCAAATAAGGAATTAACCCATTACTGTACTAAGGTGAAACCTTATTTTATGAACAGGTGTTCAGAAGTTCTGTTCTGATTGATTGAAAGTTTAAATGATAATTTCTTTTCTTGCAGTGTCACGTCAGCATTATACCCATATACTCCTGCATGGAACCTAGAAATCTGAAACAATTCTCTAAAACCGTGTCAGTGGCGATGTTTTTGTGTGTAGCCACATATACAGGGACTGCAGCGTTCGGATATCTGACCTTTGGGGACCTAATAACAACTGATATATTGTTATCATATGACCCTGACCCTGCTGTGATAATTGCAGTGATATTGATAGCTGTTAAAACATACACAACATATCCAATATTGCTGTTCTGTGGAAGGTATGGTTATGTTTTGCTTTCTTTTTTAATGTGAAACTAGGCTTAAAATGAAATTTGTTAGTTTCTCCTGTGTGCCTGATCAAAAAATCCTAAAAATATGCAGTTTGTATGCAAATTGTTTGAAAAAATGTTCTTTTCAAAATGTGTTTTCTGTAGAGTAAACAGTTCAAGTTTTGCAAAGTTTTAGACCTTAACTTTACCTTATTCGCTTTGCATTAGCCAGGTTTCCCTATATTTGATTGTTTGATACCAGCAGATGGGTAACTGAGCATGTCCAGCATCTTCAGTGCCCAATCACTAAAACCACAGGTTTAATGTCACCTTATTTTCATTATACATAATTATATAAAATTGGCAGCATACTGGGCCAGCAATCCAGAGACTTGTGGTTCAAGTCCTGGCTGTGGCGTGCCGATTTTAATTTCGTGTAATTTTTATATAATGTATAATTTTCCACTCATGACTTTCTTTCATATATATTCATTCTTGGGTGGTATAAGTGGCCTTATAAAATAATAAATTTGTTTGCCAATAAGAAAAACCAGTGAATGTGGAATCTGCCGATTGTGGTTAAAGTAGCTCTAAATAGCATAGCTCGCTGCTTTGGTAATAAAAGTGATGACATCACAATAAAGTTAAAATAACTTAAATATATACGGTTAGTTAGCACAAAGAAAACGCAACAGCCGCTGTGGTGTAGTGGTTACCATACTGGACTAGCAATCCAGGGATCATGGTTTGTGTCTCTGCTGTGGCGTGCCAATTTATATATATGTCAGTTTATGATGTGATTTTGTGTTTTAGCTCTATGTTTGTACGAAATAGTAAAACTATTGTCATGATTCATTTGGTGGCAGTGGCGTTGGTTAACCTTTTTGGTTTTCGTTTATGTTCATTAATTTCAGTACTAACAATGCTATTACATTTCAGGGCTGCATTTGAATGTTTATGGACAGATTTGCGTGGATTATCTCCAGAAGTGATCGTGAGTCAAGAAGGAAGAAGGCGTAAAATAACAACAGTTATCTGGTTTATAGCGACGCTAGCATTGGCTGTGTTTATACCTAACATAGGCATAGTAATAGAGATTCTAGGAGCTTTTGCTGCTGTGTTCATATTTATTTTCCCAGGTATGTCAGTAAAATTGAATGAAGGTATTGTATAGGAAAATAATACATTTAAGTTTTTAATGAAATCTTCAGGCCTTTAATTATGCCTCCCAAAAGTTTTGGGAGACATATTGTTTTTGCCTTTTTGGCTTGTCTGTCCATCCGTCCACAAAACTGGATCACATGATATTGCAAAAATGCTGAAAATATTTTTATGAAACTTGAAATATGGGTAGATGGCAGTCTAGAGTATATGTATGTCTTTTTATTTCTTCCTAAGTTGAAATGTGGTTGTTTATTTTGCCCCCCCCCATCCTCCATTAATTTTCTTGCAAAGTTTGCAACATTGAAATGAAATTTGATACACAGATTTATAAACATATTTAAGTCTCCCATATTTTGACTTATCCAAACATGGCCATATCTGTATTTGCATAAACGTTCGCGTAAATGTGTAACCAAGTTTTTTCTCTCAAAATAATCTTATAACTAACATATTGTAACAGCCTTTTAAATACCAGGTTATTAGCATCTGGTATAACGGAAGACAACTACATTCGTCTTATGCAATATTACATGTAGTATTATTCACAGAATCGTTTACACCTAAAAAGTATCTACAGTATTCAATTTGCACTTTTTCTATTTCAAATTAATACAAAGGTCACCAAATTCTGTGCCGTATGTGACTATCAGAAGGTGAAAATTGACCAAATGAAACCTGTCTTATAGTCTATATGTCAACCAAGGTTTGTGCAACCTGTAGGTCAAAAACCTTTTAGCATTTGATAGGTCAATGCATCTCAGATAGTACTGGTGGATTGATTTTATGTTGAAAACGTAAGTTTCATTCCATGTACACTGCCCATAATGTATACTGCCGGGACGAGGGGGTGGGGCATAAGTGTTTCACACACATCTCTTGTTAACAAATTCAAATCATACTTGGACAAAAGAATGCATTTGACAAAAAAATGAAAAATGATGAATTTTTCTCATATGACTTTGACCTTTAATTGACCTTAATAATCAAGTTTATATTATATCACATTTGCTTAAATTGTCATAACTTGTTGTTTATTTATGGATTTGAATAATTCTTGGGACACATGAACACTCATGATAAAACTGACATGACGACTTATTCAAATTTGACATTGACTTTTGAATGACTTTTACCATCAATGTAATGTATATAATTTGAGTTATATTTTGTACAGACGAAGAACGATCAGTGATCACATGTGTCGCCTCATAATAGCCATAATTCGACAAAAAAATAATTCGATAATTCGACAAAAAAAATAATTCCATAATTCGACAAAAAATTTTCCCATAAACCATAAAAATTTTAAAACCAAAATTTTCCAATTTAAAAACTGGAAAAACCCCGGGTTGGGTTATGGCCCAAAAAAAAAAACTTTAAATTTTCAAAAAACGAAAAAAACTTTTTGAATTTTTGGCATAAAATTTTAGGGGGTCACCAATTTTTTAAAAAAAATGGGAAAAATTGGGGGGGGGCTTTTTTCCCAATCATTAAAAAAAATTAAAAAAAATCCTTTTTAAAGAACCCCCTGAGTAAAAAATTTTTACAGAAAATTTTAAATGAGTGTTACAAGCTTTTTAAAAAAATTAAAAAACCAAAATTAAAAAATTGGGCCGGGGGGGGCAGATTTCCCCCAAGCTTAGAAAAAAAATTTAAAAAATCTTTTTTTTAAAGAATAAAGAGAGAGTTTAGAATTTAATAAAATTTTAAGGGGTTCAAATTTGAATAAAACCCCTTAAAAATTTGGGCCCGCCCGGGGTATTAAATTTTCCCCTTAAATTTGGTAAGCAAAAATTAAAAAATTTTTGAAAAAAAAACCCAAATTTTTAGAAATTAAGCAGAAAAATTTCTTGATTTAAAAATTTTTTTTAAAATAAAGGGCAAAATTGGCCCCCGGGGTTTTTTTTTCCTTTATTTTTTAACAAAAATAAAAAACTTTTAAAAAAAACCCTTTTTTTGTATTGCATTCTGAAAATTCTAAAAATTTTGCAAAAAAACCCGGGGAAAAATGTTCCCGGGGGTTTAATTGAAACATATTGTTAGAAAAAACAAAAAAATTTTTTTTGGTAGAGAAAATTTTCTAACATTTTCTTTGGGGAAAAAAGTTTGTTAAAAAAAAGAAAAAAGGTCCAATGGGGGGGAGGCCATTTTTTTTCTTTTTTTTTAAAAAAAAAACAAAATGTTTTTGGGTTTTTCCCCTTTTTTTAAAATAAAGGGGGTTAAAATTTTGGGGGGTAAAATTAAGGGAGAATCCCAAATGGCCCCTTTTTTTTTTTTAATTTCAAAAAGGTAAAAATTGGACTTTAAAGGTTTTCATTTATAGTAGTAAATTAATACTGACAAAGAACTTGAAACAATAATTTGAAATAATTCGACTGAAATAACCACAACAGAATGTGAGGACTTGTTTGATTTTGTAACTTAATTAAAAGAACATCTTACAATTAACATGTGTCTGAATTTTTTTCCCCTGCTCAGTGTTCACCTTTGTTACATAGACATAATTATTTTTGAAACAAGAGTTTTAAAATTTACTCCTTGGAATCTTAATTGCTGAGAGCTTAGATATTTAGCTAACATAGACTTGTATAGCAATAGTTGTCTGAAACAATATGTTTAGAAAATTAAAAAATATTTAATTTGGGTAGTCAAATAAAAGAGAAAATAATTATTTTATTTATAAATAAATTTTTTGCCCTTTTTAAAAAAAAGTTTGGGAATAATTTTCATACTTATGGTCTATTCAAAGATGTCTTAACTCTCAAATATAAAATCAGTTATTCAAAGTCATTGAAGTCGGAATCATTCTTTCAATTTAACATGTTCAATGGTATTTCAAAATAATATGACTGTGATAAAAAGTGTAATGGCAGGCTTATATTTTCACATTTGAATCAGTTTGATAATCATATCATTCAAAACTCAAGTCTTCATACTTTCTTTTTTGATCCAATTTTATTGGCTAACCAGTAAGCCAGAAAGGAGCTTACATATATGGATGTTTGCTACATTGTTTCTTGCCCTTTGTTGAAGAGAAAGCATGTAGCATTTTAATGCTTGTTGAGGTCTGTTTTCTTGTTCCATACATTGTCCTAAAATGTTGAGAGCTGTTTCTCTATGTTTGAGGTTTTTATCTGTTTCTATGGTTCTTATAAGTTTACAAAGTGCTTGTTGTTGTTCTTGATGTCTTTGTAGATGACGATAGATCTTGTATTGTAGGAAGTATAAGAAAGGTAGAGAATCGACTACAGCCCAGTCCATCCAACAGTCTCTATCCTCATCTCTGTGTATCATGTCATCTTGTGTAGATCTGAACATTTCATATTGTAGTTCACAAGGAACACAGTTGATCTCTCCCTGTATAAATTTGACACAAAATGCTGTAATATGTTTTATACAGTCCTCACGTTGTTCATTACATAACCTCTCGAATTCTGCTGTTACTGCTTCTGGGGGCTGATTTTGGCAGCCACAGATAGGTAAAACAGGATTGGAATAATATTGTTGTTCTGTGTGTCTCAGAATTAGTTCAGCTTTCTCCATATCTCCTGTACTGTAAAACACTGAAGCCAATTTAAGTCTACTAGATGAGATATCTGAGTTTAAACCAGCTGATAGCCAGACCAATGCTTGAGGTGGCACTTGTTTATTTTCACCAATGCTGGATGATGCTAGGATAGATCCATATGTGGTAAAAAGTAAAGGTGCTAGAAGCTTGAATGCAGCATGTTCTAATCTATTACCATTGTCACTGAAGGTCATTAGTTTACCTAGATATTGTTTTATTATTTGAATGTTTTTATTGTGTAAATGGTTGAAAATACAGTTATGCTGTAAACTTATGTTATTTGCAATGTTTATATATTCAAATGTCATAACATTTTCACAATGTATTTCAAGAGAAGAAGGAAAATAGTTAATTCCGTGTGGTATTCTGTTCAGTTTAAGTTGAAGTCTATGACCAACAACATCAATATCAATACTAAGTAACTGTTGTCTATCATTCTGTATAAAATCACAAATATTTTTTGAAAGTTCATGTTTTGTCTCAGCTGTAAATTGCCCTGCCATCAAATTATTTTCTGGTATAATGAAATGTGAACAACAATCATTCTGTACACAACTGTGTAATTCCAATAAGCAGTATGTTAAACATGTATGTAAATTGTTATCTTTCCATATTCCTGACTCTGTGTTTTCTATACAATGTAATAAAACTGTTTTGCACATGAAACTTGATATGTTGATTTCATCTTGAGGATTAAGGAAGGACTTAAGAATCATTTTTAATAGTACATAGCACCTTATTTGTGTTATATTTAGATTGTACATTATACATCTTTCTGTCAATGATGTAGATATTCTCCATTCAAATTCAGGACATTCACTGACCTTACTTCCAGTTGGAACAACAAAACACCCAGTACTGGCTGCATATCTTCTCATCTCATGTGTTGGCCATCTGTCAATACCCTGTCTATGTAACCAACCTGATGCTGATTGAGGCCATGATTTACATGGAAAAGCAAACACTAGGTCTCTATCATATAATCCAGGTTGTCCTTGTGCAGCAATAGATGGTCCTTTCTGCTGCTCACCACCATGAAGATAATCATTTATCATTGTGTTTTTAAACAAAATTCTTCCTCTTCTATCAGAAATATAATGTTCACTAGGAATGACAGTTGCAGGAAGAGGTTCATCATGTCTGAGTCGTTGTAAGAAACAATACCCCGGGGTAGTGTTCTCATCCTGTATCATGAGGTAGTTTAACTTGCCATGTTCCCACTCTGACCAGTCTTGTATTATATTGAAATCATGATCACAGGATAGTATATCAATGTCTGAATGAAGTCCTATAGTAGTTGTACCTTCACTTTGACTCCCTAGATTATAGTTAGTTCCATTTTGATCAATTAACCTGTTCCTGATATTACTCATAGTCTCTCTCAGCATGACTCCTCTTCTCCTTCTC